AATTCTGATGAAATTCTGGACTCGCGTTACAGAATATTCTATACCAGATATATACTCATTGCTTAGCACCAGAACTCTCAGTCATGATTGTGTTCTCAAACGATTCACATCTCTATGTACTAAATTGTGTACTCAAATATATCAAAATGTAACTCAAAAATAAAACAATATTAAGTCTGCAATCAAATGTCTTTACTTTTATCATTTGTGTTACAATTACTAAATATGTCTTAAAGTTCTCATAACTCAAACTCTAATACCCGGCGACCCTATCGTGTGATACTGTTTAGTAAAGTGGAGTCTCTTCGACAGTATTAACTGTTATTAGCCTCCGATAATAGTTATACTACTGTTTTTGATGGTTCGTACAGTTCGAGTCTAAACTCATCGCAACGGCTAAACGCATCCGAGACCTCAAGAATCGCAAAGGAATATACAATTCTGGCAAATACTCAATCACTACACACCACAACTTGGACTCAACAATTAAGATCCGTCACACTATAATTTACTAATTTACTAATATAATTTACTAATTATATTAATATAATAAGTGCAAACATTAGTCACATGAAAATATTCATATTGATATAACGATCATTATTATATTAATAGACAATGCCAATTAATTGAATTCTTGTTATTATATGGATATAATTCAAACAAAAAATAATTGTTTAAGTACAGTATATACATGTTATAAATAAATATTATTTCATTAAATGTGGTTTGTAATCATAAATAAAAAACATTGTTTTAAGTTAAATGAAATGATATATCATATTAAATAAATTTTATAAATAATTATATTTGAATTGTTATGTTATAATATTATTTAGTCTGTATATACTTCTACATTTAACTTGGATAAACTTAGTAATAAATGTGTTTTAATAATTATACTAATTTAAACTAATAAATATATTTTATATGCGGTATTTTAAGTAAAAATATTAAGTAATTGTAATGTCTGAAATAATAAAACAATTAATAATAATAATACTAATAAAATATATCAATAACTTATTTATAACAAAATGTCATAAACTATATATAGAAATTTAATTACACAATTTTATTATATTTAATCAAATATAACAATAATTATTAATTAAAATCTTTAATAAAATACTATTATTTTATAAAAATTAGACTTGATCATTAGGTTTTGTAACTTCGTATTTAACACAATTATTTTTATAATTAAATAGTTTTGTAGTTGCTTTTAACACTTCCAGCTCGACACATATATCAGGGTCGTCGCAATATATTTCAAAATTATTAATTTCGTTACAAATTAATTTTATAATTTTAGTTTTTTTATAAACATTATATTGAATCCAGGCATAATATAAATCTATGACCACCACAAATAACGTCATTAAATATATAGTATATGAGTCACAATTTACATAAAATATGAATAATGGCAACATAAGTGTCAAACTAAGCGTTGATAATAATGTTAAATATTTTAGCAAGTAGATATTTTTCTCGAGAAGTACATCGAAATGAATATAAACATTAAGTTTTTGTTGACATTCAATTACGTCCCCTATTTGTGGTTTATTATTTTCATTGTAGTTCTTATTAATTAATAATTTATAATAATTATCAAGAACCTCGTTGAATTTCATATTTAATTCGTAATAAATTAATTGTTTTGACTGATAAAATCCGACCATGTGAAATGATAATATTGACATACGTTGAACAAAATTGACCGGTAAATTTAACATGGCAAAAATGTCGTTCATAACCTGTTGGTAGCTTACGATCATTGTTATTAAAGTTAGAAAAATAGTCATAATAATAGCAAATATTAAACGGCTTTGATTATTTAAACAAGCTTGATTAATGTTATTTATTTTTTGGTAATTTGTTAATTCATTATAAATACTAAAAATTTTTCTTGAATGAGCTTTCACAAATATATACGAAGTAAGCATTGAGAATGAATATATAATAACTAGGACTTTTAAAATGATTATGCCCATGTTTTTATTAATAAATAGTGTAAATGGGAATTGTAGTAAAAACGCCGATAGTATTGTAATTGTAATACCAGTAAATATTTGTCTTGCTACTTTATTATCACAATTAAGTCCAAATATAATAAACACGTGTTCAAACATTTTAGTGTTGATAATATTTGTAAAAGATTATACATACACAAATATAAACAAAATAATATTTTGAACTAAGCAACTCAATAAAGTATCATACTAAAAAAATATACTTTATAAATTATAAATATGTCATTGAATCATTTGTGTCATTAATTGTATGATCATCATCATTATTAAACTAGCTAATTACGAAATGAATATAACTTTTATAAATTAGTATGTTCATACACTATGTAAGTATTCAGACATTGTAGTTAGGCAATTTGTAGGGTCTTTAAGAAAATTAATTGAATTTATATGTCTTATAATAATATTTTATTAAATATAATAATGTTGACATGAAACATATTTTTTAGGAAAACATCACTTTACCGATTAAATGTTATTATGAAACTGATGTTTTATTAAATGTATTCAATATAATACTTTAATGCAAAAATATTGATTTTTTACTAGAGATCCAAAAATAAAATGCTATAACATATTAAATAAATACAGTATGTAAAACATTTTCTTAATGGTTTTTTCGTAGAAAATTTACCTTAATATAAATAATCTAATAGTATGTTGATAGCTGTAAATATGATGTAATAATATAATGCAGCATCAAGCATAATAAGCCGATTATGTTGTAATTATAACGTCAGTAAATGTATGTCATACTACTGTCGAAGCTCTGAGTTGTCAATCTCTCTGTTGTGTATCGCTCTATGGTGTGAACTAATACTGATTTTTTGGCGGATTCCCTATACCTGTAATGTTAAAAACATTCCCTGTTGTCAACTTCTATGTTGTGTATATCTCTATGCTGTGGACACATTTAGCAATATTTAGTGTTATTTTCCGCTCCGAATTGTGTAAAATGTCACAAAATAATAGTAAAATTGTAAATTATCTTCAAATTTTTAAAGAGCATAAGCGAAAATATATAAATTATTACCTACTATTATAATACAGTTAATCTAATATTGAAATCAAAATTATTTCACAAAATAAAGAGATTAGTTAAATATTGTATAATGCATCCTAAGATGGCTATCTGTTTTTGATGAAAGAATATTATATTACAAATTATGAAGTGTTACTAATTAGTATCTTAGTCAATTATCATTACTATAAATGAGAAATTGTATTGTATATAAGATTTTTGTTTATTATATCAAAGTAATTTGATATAAATTTTCTACTAATTCGATCTAACAGTTCAATTATTTACAATTATTTATTAGATAAAATTAGCAAAAATGTCACAGATAATATGAATGAGATACTGCCCTAGAATTCTTGATTAATTGAAACATAATATCCAATATTCAAACCCCGATTGCCAGATATTGTTAAAGTTGACAATATTCTTTTTGTTGTTGACATTCCCTGTTGTGAACATTCCCTACTGTGTACAGATTTTGTCTGCATTAGCTCATACACAACTCAGAGCTTCGACAGTAATTAATTGATTAAACAACTATAAGTTTTATTAGTTTATATCAAGGTATTATTTACGATTCATAGCACGTCCTGTACGGGTGTTGTGGTTAACGAACGCTGGATATTAACGGCCGCCCACTGCGTGGCGTAAGTAATGTATATCTTTTAATGTAGCTTGCTTATAATATATGAATCAAAATATCAAATAGAGGCCTATTTCTGAAACTGAGTAATGCATTGGTTTTCACATTTACCATATAATTTAAATTAGTAGTTCATGATATGTATTTTTTATGTTTTATTTTAATAATACAATTTAGTACATAGAGATGTGAATCGTTTGAGAACACAATCATGACTGAGAGTTCTGGTGCTAAGCAATGAGTATATATCTGGTATAGAATATTCTGTAACGCGAGTCCAGAATTTCATCAGAATTCTCCTATTCTGTAACATTAGCGTACATTGCATCAGAATTATGCTTCGCTGCAATGCAATTCTGCTCATAGCTTGCATCAGAATGTAAATTCTTAACATTTATAGGATATTATATTTTATTTTAAGAAAAACACATTAAGGTGTGACAACACGCATCTTGGATTATTTTATATATTAATAGTACTACATGTAAGCTTTAATAATTAATATAGAAAGACGGTTCTAAAAGTCATGCGCGGGGGTCAAAATCGAGTTTTCCCCAAATTCTGTATCTAAACACATGTAATTCTATGGCTTATTTCTCAATAATGAGAAGCTCTCGCATTCTAATTTATGGCTCATTTGTTAGCTTAAGATGTGTATTTAAAATGGTATAAATTTAGTTCATATACCATTGGTATGCCATATCAAAATCAATAAAATCCAGATAATTCTTATGTTATTCTATGGGATATTCTTTAGTTATAATTCTATAGTAATGTGTATATAATAATAATGTTCTATTCTGGAGAGTCCTCACAATATTATTTTGTTATTTCAATAAATATTGTGTTTTATAATTGTGTTCAAAATGTGCGAACTTTTGAATAAGTTTCGCATTTGTGATACGATTGACGCGAATATTAAACACGAAATTAAATTATTTCATGTTTTCAATAGTTATGAAGACACGAATAACTATAAAAATATAATATTTGTCACAAACAATGACTCAGTTTATTGTATGGGTCGTAACTATAACGGTTGTCTGGGTTTGGGTCACGAGAATGAAGTGAAAACACCACAAATTATACCACAATTATGTAATCAAAGGATACAGCGATTTATGAATGGATATGACTTTGTGTTGGCTATCAATCACGTGAATCACGTGTTCAGTGGGGGTCACAATATGTACCGACAATTGGGTAGACGTACGGAAGGATTAGGTTTTGAAATCATATCCGAATTGAATGACAAGAATATCACACAAATATGTTGTAATAGTTATCACTCCCTGGCCCTCACCACCAATGGACAGGTGTATGCCTGGGGTTATAATCATTGGGGACACATTAAGAATAATACACCATCGACACCAGTATTGATAGAATTTGCGAACAATTATAAAATCAAAAGTGTTTTCTGTTGTAATCGTAAATCATTTGTCATTACTGTCGAGGGTTTGGTATTCAGTTGGGGTGACAATGTGTTTGGTGAATTGGGGTATACATCAAAAAACCTCTATTCATTGTCACCCAAATTGATCCCAAATCTTAATGATATCAAATCAATCACTTCATCAGATATTAAGAATTACTTTACGTATTTTCTATCAAATAATAATTATATATATATTTGTGGCTATTATATAGATGATATGAAACAATTGCAAAAAATAAGTCCCCCGATACAAATTTCATTGAACTTAAATGCTCTACAATTTAATGAGCTTCATTCATATTATTTTTCTGGACGATCAATAATAAAAGCTGACGATTATATTCATGAAATGATATCCCCGCATGAAGTTAAACGATATGATTACACTAATTTTGTTGATTATTACGCCAATGAACTACAAATAACTTACAATACATTGAACACCAATTCTGATACAAATGAAGGTATAGTTATTTAATCATTATTTCATTGATTATCGCATAAAAATCTAAACTCTTATTACATAAGATTATCATTAAATTACTTTTTGTGTTTAATACCATATATCGACTTATATATCAATTTAGGGCTCATTTCACACGCTTTCGACTTTTATGTCGTCCTAAAGATTAAACAATAATAAATAGTTTACTAATAATATTATGTAATTGTGTTTATATTTTAGTATCAAAAGTGGGAAACAATTCATTTGAAAGCCATTACCAAAACCTTTTCGAGGAGTTGTCGGCTATAGGGTCGGGAGGTTTTGGGACTGTATTTAAAGTTAAGCATAGATTCGATTAACACATATATGCCGTCAAAAGAATTGAGTTTAAAAGTAAATATAATAAAATAGTTATAATATCTTAATTAAAAGAGTTTATAATAATTGTATTATACAACAGAATCTAGCGATGAATATATGAGACAAATTTTGATGGAAGTGAAGAATCTAAGAAAACTTAATCCGGATTTTGTGGTCCAATATATCACTTCATGGCCTGAAAGCAAACACCTCTACATTCAAATGGAGTTCTGTTCACAGAATCTAAAGAATATTCTCGAAATTAAACCAAAAGTATTTGACAGACAATCGGGAGATCCCATGAATTGTGTCGAGTATTTCATTTCATGTGAAATATTCCGTCAGATCTTAGAAAGTGTTCAGTATTTGCATGAATTGAATCCAAAGATCATACACAGAGACCTCAAACCCGACAATATATTGATAGACGGGAACGGAAGGGACGGCAGGTTTATTAAGTTATGTGACTTTGGTTTGGCAACAGTCCACGACAAATACACTAATAGTAAAGCTTATGTGAAACATACTTCACGAGTGGGAAGTATACAATATATGGCACCCGAAGTACTTCAGAGCAGAAGATATGACCACAAATCGGATGTCTATTGTCTCGCAATAATTGGTTCAGAAGTATTGGATTTCGACTTATTTTTGATTGACTTAAATGAGTATAACTTGAATACAAATGTTGTGTTTATTTAATTGTTTACAACTTTCATTATAATTACGGTAATAGTTTACAACACTATTCACAAAGGGATGACATACTGAACGCACCGGTAGTTAAATTGAAGCGAATTCTGGTGTCAATGGCTTCGACCCCAACGTTCAGTCAACGGCCCGACTGTTCACAAGTACTGCGAGAATACAGCGAATGGTCTGTCGATCGGAATATTCTGAGGAAAAGTGAATTCCGGATAATATTAGAGAGACTTATATCACATGAAAACACATTTTTCTATCAATTTGTGTCCAATTATTTGAAACCATAATTGCATTTATAATAATTGTCAATCAAATCGTTATGTGACAGCTAGCATATTTTGTCATCATAGTACAATTCATTATTTAACTCACAAAATAAAAACATTAAATTCATTAATTAATAATATTGTATCAAGTAAAAATTGTAAAGGGATAGACAAGTACAATTGTACTGACAAGTGAGATTATAAGCAGGATGAATGTTGTATTTCTGGAGATCAATACTTATAATAATATTTAAAGGTCTAAGTTTTTGGTTATTTATTGGCTATTAATCCCATTTGTGATGGCTATATTTATTTATGTCGTATTATATGCAAGTATTATGTTATTAATCAGGCTTTTAATCATATTAATAGCCATTGAATTTGAACTGACCCTGCTGTTTATAGTACATATATCGACTGAACTGAATAACCAATCGATAATCACTTATAAGTAATTGAATTCAGATTTCGCGAGAAATACACGATTACCGTATGGCTTAAAAATTAATGTATTATAATATTATATAATATAAAGCAGTAAAATGTAATTTAATATATTTTTTATTGACTTATAGTTGATATCATTGACGGAAAGGTTGGGCACAAAAAGGGTTGGCTTTTACTGTTGGAAACTATTCCTAATCAATAGATTCCGTGGATATGAGGTATAGTATGCATTCATATAATAATTAATGGTACTGGATGGAATAAGTTTTGTAAACTTGAAAAATAATTGACCACCCTTAATATACAGAATCTATACTTATTTAGTAATGTGTTGACTGAATGTTTAATTCAACTTAAATACTCATTATGTTTCAAATTTTATTTTATTATATAATTCATTTTTAATATTATCTATATTATAACTAGGAATGAAAAAAGTGGGTATGCATTAAATGAATGACCCCTCAAATATGATAAAATATTAGTAATTTTCAAAAATAATAGCTTTTGTCAGAATATTTTTAATGCATTGAAAATTCATTTGAATTTTATATACTCATACCTTGATTCATTTAACATGATAGGCTTTCTGTAAGGCATAACAATCTCTGAATAATAAACTTAAATATTTTATCTAAAAACTACAGTATGTGTCACATTATTTTCTATGTCTGTACTAATTTTGAATCATTAATAATGAATATTTTTATAAAATAAAATAAGTTCACTTGATGAGATTTTTACAAACAAAAATTATTGCTAATAGATTACTTGTAAACTATTAATACAATTTTTCTTTCATTCAGTACGTACACATTAATACATACAAATACACATAAAAAATACATAATATAACCTATTATAGACTTTTATTTTATTTTATAGATACTGGCATTAATTGGCGTACAAGTACTAAATATAATAAATTTATCAAGATAATCTTACATCTCACATTTTATTTTATTAAATAGTATAAATAATATACAGGTAAATTTAATATAGTATATGGTAGTAATGTGTTAAGACAATAAGTAATTATTATTTTATAAACATTTAGTTTGAATAAAAACAATAAACAAATATTTGTATATTTTATGCTAATACTATTGAAACACTTACTATTATATCTCTTATAACTTTAAAAAATAATTTAATTTTTAAAATTTATATTTACTAAATAATATTATTATTAATACATATAATCAGCGAGTTCCATGTATTACAAATTATTACAACTAGTGATGTATAGACTAAAGAAACTAAATGAGTATCTTCAACACTAGTAATTTTTTTTAATGATAAACAGTCATAAATATAGGAGTAGTAAATGATAACATATGAATGAAATCCTATTTTATTAATCATTGATTCATTAATATAAAATTAGTACACTATCAAGTTTATAAATATTACTATTAACTTTATAATAAAGACAAATAACTAATAACTAGTGCTGTGAAACATTCAAAAGTTTATGAAATTAATACATCCCTATTTTTAAGAGATTTAAAATCATACTTTCATTATTTTCGGTAATTAATTGCATCGAGGTCACTGTTAATGTGGCCCGGATTACAATGTGTAAGCATCGTAGCTGTACTGTATCAATAAAACATTATAATAAAATATTTGACTAATTTTATAATAGAGTACCGGTACTTAAATTTATTTACACATCTTATTGTAAATATTTGATTAATTTTATAAAATTGTTTTGTATAGTTGGAGTAGTCGTATGCTAACATTTTGTATCATTGATAAGTTTCATTTGTTAAGTGAATTGTACCATCACGTTTTAATTATTGTTTCTACTGTCTTATTATGGTATAATAAATTCAAGAGTTTGAACAAATAAAAACAAATGCATGCTAAATGTACCAAGTAATTGTGTTTAACATTACTTTAAATAAATGTTTATGATTATTAAAATGATACTTGATTCTTATTAATAGATTATAAAGTTAAACATTTAATTATGTTATAATTATTATAAAGAAAAGGATAGTAAAATATAATAAATTACTAACAATATTATACTAGTAATTTATTTACGTTATTTGAATTTAAAATACCGCAAAATTGTATCAAGTAACATAAAAACAGACAGTCCCAACCACATACCTAATAAGCCACCTAAATTACATACCAAACTTATAAATGACGATTCAGGCATATGCGTAATTAGGGTGTCGGGCATATTATCATGTCTCAAAATAACCTTGCTTCTATAAGCACCATATTCTTTATCCTGTTTGCTATCTACTAAATTAAATGAATAAATACGCTCATCACAACTTTTGAGACACCTTTCCCGGCACATGGACCACGAGTCCACGGATACCTCGACAGTACAGTTGGTGGCATTCATATTATCTGCCAATTTAAGCCGGGACAAACGATCGCCAACCAAATGTTCGGCCCTAAACATAAACCTATTGTACCCATCGGTGGACAGGCTGTTGCTATCGGGACACAATCTTGAGTAGCGGGACAGCCAACATTGGGTCTGACACTCGCTGCGGGTGTCGGCGCTCTCATAGTCGCGACAATTGGTGTCGTAAAAGGGCGGCAAACGTTTGATGTGAATGTGATGAAAGTTCATATTAATGTCGTGACCCATTGGCAGGCGTACGTACGTCGAGTCCATACTCATGTCGGGCGTCGAGTTTTGCGAGTGAATCGTGATCTGAAAATTATCTCGCTCACAGTCGTCCAATAAGTAATCGCGCTCATTACACGCGATGGTCATGATTACCTTGCCAAAGTTAAACTCGAACCTTGCCCACTTTGGATTGAGCGTGCTAAAAAATGTAACGCACTGTCGCATACTCGGTAATGGTGCCAATGAAGTAACCGGCTCACTATCGCATACCTGTGACCATCCAGTCCCGTCCCAGTCATTAACGCATACAGATATCAGGGTACTGTTGTAGTTTATGCTCAATTTGTCGATGATCTCGCTCATTGGTATTTGATAAACAGGGACAACCATAGTTTGGGTTAAGTTTCTCATACCTTCCCTGAATGTCATATCAAGACACTGTTCGCCGCAACTTTCAATGTCACGGATATACTGGTCAAACACCGGCTGATAAGCAGGGTTATATTTGGCCAGACGTTCAAGTGAGTAATACGAGGGATAACATAAGCTTATGGCCGGTAATTGTGTAATATGTACACGCTCAGTTATAGTCGTGACAACTGTACGCCCGGAAAGGTATTGTGACAATAGTAGTGACGAGTGGTATAGAAATCCCGATAAACATATGATTACCACAAATAGTTTAATGATTTTGTGTTTCAAAACATGACCAGTACGCTTTTTGTGTTTAAATAATTTGTTAGAAACGTTAAATAAATTATTATTCATACTGATAATTTATATCAAGATCTATTGATATAACTAATTTTGACGTAAAATAGACTTTTACATTATATGGCAATGTAACAGGCAACAAAAGTATGAATTTTACAAAATTAATAATGTAGCTTTGCTAGTTTTAATATTCTAAGTTATTTAACAATTTTATTAAAATTAAAAATATTATCAAATAAGTGTAATATTTATTTTATATGACAAACAAAGTTAGAAAGATTAAATGTAAACAAAGCAAAGTACGGTTGTTAGTTTATTTAATTTTAATATATTTATACATAGCATGAAATCCTTAATGTTGATTAAATCTAAATAAATATTTTAAATTATGTTTTTATTTACTTATTAAAATAAGCATTTCAAATAGATTAATTTATAATACATATAAATAAATTATATATTAAAATAGAAATTAGATTAGAAAAATAATTTATTTTATTCTGTGATGATAAATTAGTTTACATTTAAAAATATGCCAAAACAAAAAAATGTATAACATGTACCGTTATATTCTAAATAAATATTAATTTTTATTAATAATAAAAATATTTTCTAAGTAATAATAAAATATATTTCAATGAAATAGTATATTTAAAAATATAATATTTTTACTAATAAAATATCAAACTTTCACTTATTTTCTGTAATTAATTCTATGTTGGTTAATTTGAAAAATAAATAAAATATTAATTTTTTATAAAAATATCTTACTAAATTATCTAATCATTCAATTAATTGGACTGTAAATCGTAATTATATAAGTACCTAGGGAATTTAATTTTAGTAAATAATATTAGCATGAATTCCGTGAACATAATGATAGAGAAGCCAAACAATAAACTTAAAATACCGACGCTGAGGCTCAATAAATTTAACGCCAAATATAATTTTAAAATGATCCTGTACCTCTAATAAACCTTACACACCCTCCCCCCATACCGAGAGTAGTACTTATTTAACGGTCCATAGATAACACAAATACGCGATTCCCTCTAACCTTGCTCACCCAATAGGCCCTAGGATTTACGTGCAAATGAATTATGCTATTGTTAATATTCGTGAATTTGGAGTGCACCTTGCTCATATAGTTTTTGAAATTAATTTTATTGTATAATATTTGCGCGGATTCTGTGAACATGACGATTGAAAAGCCAAACCATAGGCTTATAATACTGGCGCTGAGGCTCAGGTACTCCTCGACCGACATTTTCAATGATACCTCGTATATAACGGTCGGATACGTGGATAACGCTATCTTAAGCTTATAAACATGGTCACTTGCCTTTTGTAAAAGATATTCACCAAAATAATCGATAATGGGTTCGTCTACTGTACAGTAATGAACATGTTTTTCATCGTATTTACATTCATCTAGGCACTTTTGTTCATTTTCTAATAATTGTTGCGTGTTTTCAGATGTCATAAGCAAGCTCATATTAGAATTATTTGAATATTTATCGTGCAAGTTTTTGTAAATAAAATGATGAAAATCGGTGGTCATATTAAGTTGATACAATTGCCTATGATAGCAATCCACTACACATTTACTACTTGTAAGGTGATTTATGTTACCAATTTGTTTGCCACGATTATTTATCATGATCGTTTGCTTAAAATGTAATACGGACGCGCTCATATCAGTGATATTAACTTGCTTAAAGCCAGTAGATGAAGATTTTATATTATCATGGAAGATTCCGTAGTCATTATAAAACATTTGCGTAGGTGCATGAAAAAATAGCCAGATTCTTTTATCAGTGTTATTCGTAACAGCGAATTTAACTTCAACATAGTCGATGTCCAGGTCAAAATGAGCTGTATCATTTTCCAAATGAGCACTGAATGGGTGTATGGTCATGCAACGTAATGCACCGCTGATAGCTTGCTCAAATAAATGGTTTGCAAAGCAGTTGTAATGGCGTCGACCAATTGACCTACATGCTATGTCTTTGCCTAAATCATCTAGGTCAGGCCTGTCCAGAATTTTTAAAAACCACTAAATAGTGATGTATAACATTACTAAACTTAATAATTATCTACAACACTAGTATACTATGTTTTATAAATGAATAACTTTCAAATGATTAATTTATTA